CTAAAGATTAAAATTTTCTAAATAGTTTATTATTTAACGTAGTATTATTTTTAGTACTATGCCCCGACGTTCCTTGACTCGGACGCGACGTCGGATTTAGGGGACGTCACGGCAAACAAGGACTGTGAGCACGAGTTTTCATTTGGTTGACCCACGACTCCCCACGTATTCGGGATGTTGGCGAAATTTCTTTATTCCACGGACTTGGGAATGCAGACTGCTGGAGGCCAACGTGCATGGGAATCTGCGGGAGATTTAGCCCCGAGGTGGAGGAACACCTACATGGCCGGGGCGGCTGCGGGTGCACTTTGTATTAAACCACTGTTGGCTGCGAGAGGTCTGGCGTATGCATGGCCTTGTGGCCCAAAGTACGGCGGGCTGCCCCCGAGCGTTGAGGGGCAAGCGTACAAGGGTCAGAGCCGCTGACTGCAGGAGGGGCCAAGGCTGTTCACGAGGGACCCTTTTCCCACTTCAACCTCCAAAAATCTCAGTCGAAGAGTTGCCACCGCCGAGATCCGCATTAGGGATGTTCCACCCTGGGCTATGCTACGGGTCTACAGCAGGCCTGTACCACGACTCAGTGGTAACTGACTGTGTGTAGACTGCCCGTCGGGGACCCGGAGAGGCGTGAGCTCTGCTCGGACCAGACAGGAGGAGACTTGGTGGAGGGCACCGTGCGTGTAATCGTTCGACGGGCTCGGGTAATAGGAGCGAATGACAATCGAACCGTCAAAGTAGCAAGCTCCCGCAAGACAACCGGCACTGCTGAGGCGACCTGTCTGCACTTCTGTGCGATTGTGCGATACCATGACGGTGAAAGTAAAGAGAAGCAGCGGAGCGGGCAGCAGGAAGGGGAGCAGACTGAACCTGGACGAGGGCTACGCCGGGTGCTTGCAGGGAATGAGTAGCCAACTCACACAGAGTATAATGGAACCGATTGAGAAGGGATAGAGTAGGAGAGGATCCTAAGACGCAGACGGAGAGTGGCAAGAAGCAGTGAATTTAGGGAAGAGGCAAGCGAACCTGGACAACATGTTGCACGAGGTACATGCAGGGCAGAGTAGAAGGCAACGAAGCAGCGAACGGGGTGAGAGACAAATTTGGGGTTCTGGGCCAGGGCGAACCCACTCGACAGGTCAGTTTGGCAGGAGAGTGATTAGGATAGGGGTTAGTACGAGAGTAACGTGCGCTGGGATGGAGAAGGCGGAGAAGGAGAGTGAGAGGCGATGGCAAAAAGTGAACTACTTGCCCGATCCTTGACGGAATCAGGCAAAGTAAGAGTCGGATTCGATATTTTTGGGATGGGCGAATCCAAAAATCGAAGTTAGTTCTAGCTAAAAATTTGTAGATGAGGCGCGACTAAGAAAACAGGGCGCACGGGTTGTCTAAGAGAGAAGGTATGGTGAGGGAGAGGACTGGTAGCGCACTCGATTCATAACAGAATCGGACGCGGAAGGAGGCGATCCGGGGGTTTTCGAGGCGGGCGACCCCGGATCCAGAGTCGGATTAATATGAGAGTTAGCGTTAGAGGAGTTAGGAAGGAGAAGTAGTGAGTGGGCTATGGCGGAAGGGAAAAGCGGGAACGAGGAGAATGAAATCTGCATAACTCGCTCGTTCCTCAACGAAAACGAGCGAGTGAAGATCGGATTTTGGGGTATTCAGGCAGGGCAAATCCGATTATGTGGTTAAATTGGCAAGATACTGAGTGATTTTACCGCTGCATGAGTAGAAAGCTACGCGGATATGGAGGTATGGCGGGGGCAAAAAGACAGCACCTCGCGCGATATTTGATAAAAACGACTTTATGAAGAGACGGGCTGATGATTTTTTTTGGTGCCACGTTCGACTGTAAGCCTAGATCGACGAAGAAGTGGACGAATCTTGGTGGCCAGTATGCATGAGCTGCGCCCGGAGAGGGAGGGTGGCAAGGTGTCGATGCACCTAGCCTCGTTTTAGCGAAAGATTCATTCTTTTTTTTTTTTTTGCCTGTTTTTTCTTTATAGGAGCAACGTCAGGTTGGCCACGAGGTTTGGAGACTTACCTGTTGGCCGGTGCGTTGCTCATACCAAGAGGTGGATTTGGTTGCATGCCAGCGGAAGATTCCTTCGATGTTGTGGTCAAGACGGTTGCTTCCGCGGATGGTTTTCGTTGTTAGTTTCCTGATAAGAAGTATCTACCGCCATTTCATCATGGTTTTCCCCCTGTTTCTTGTAGTTGCTGGGTCGTTCCCGTAGGCGGTCGATCGTTTTCAATCTAAATAAGAATGATCGTCTTCATGGTAAAATATTTTCCTTTCACTGTAGTCGAGATTGTCGTACCCCATGATGCTGTTGAATCCCGACCTATGGCCACGGCATGGTGTGTCTAAAGGAATGAAAAAAATTTGAATGGGAGTTCTACTTTGGCCTAATAGGGAGTATGCAAAGGGCGAAGTAGAAGTAGGGGAGTGAGGGGCGAGATCAGTTTGCCAACGACATATAGCCTGAGGAAGGAGCAATGAAGGGCTCGATCCCACTTTGAAAATGGGCTATTTTACTGTGGGAAGACCTACCTGTTAAAACCGAGGAGTTGCCATTGCTGTTGAGGGAGGTAACGGGTAGCGAGCGGCGAAAGTTGCAGACTTGCCTACGAAACGTACACTGACCATCAAGCCACCGCCAACAAAGTAAAGCTGACCGTTGAATTTGCCGAACTGACTGATTGACCAGTGCGTTATGTCCCATACCAGGTGGCCGATGGAGGTAGCGATAGGCAAGTTGCGCAAGTTGTACGATTGCAGGCCCACCTCTCCTACAGCAGTATCATTCGCTGCTGAGTGAAGTGCTGACAAATCAGCCACATGGGATAAATCAAGTTGCCGATTGATGTGTTATGCATCCTATCATATGACGTGGAGGGAGGAGTATCACAGGCTTGTGGGTTTACCGCTGATCGTTGCACTTGGAACTGCAGGCACTATGAAGTGATTGTGATTGTTGAAGGGGAGATTATTGTTGTGACCTGAAGAATCGTCGGATGGTCAACGACAGATGGTCGGGTTTCATTTTGACACACTGTTGCGTGTTATGACCGCCATTGCAGGGTCCTCAGGCGTACGAAGATTATAAGGCTCTCTCCTGCGAGTCTGGGTGAACCCCTCTTGTATCTGAGAGGCTCAATGACATCTAATTCTGCCCTTCTTACTCTAAGTCTAGTTTTTTGGTTTTGAAAGGAAGGCGGCAGGCGGGATTGCAACCCGTAGGACCACAACGAAATTTTGTAGGGAGTCATCCCACCGATTGCAGAAGCTCTGCCGAAACTCAGGAGGAGTTATGGAGGCAAGGAACTGAGAGGTAACCTTTCATCTCCTTCTATAAGCCCAGTTACAACCCTTAAACTGCACCCCTTGCTATGTTTTGACTGAATATACTGTGTGTATCTCTTATTTCTTTTAGTTTGACTTTCAGGACACAACCCAGACTAAATAAAGGAATGTGTGTGCAATGCAATTTCAGTTTTTGGTTGTCTGACTGAAAGCAGATTGTGGGGTTGTATATGGGGGAAGGATGGGAGTCTGTCTCTTATACACATCTAGATGTGTATAAGAGACAGGGTTGGGAGTGTCTCCAAAGTTTGGAGGGCCCAGTGCTATGTTTATTTTGGATTGCCTGAAGGACCAGACAGGTTCCCATAAGTTTGAGTAGTCTGGTTGCTTTGACTTGCGAGGGCTGAATGTGATTGCCTTTTTAGGGACCAAACATTTTTTCATAAGCTTGGATGACTTGGTCGCCTGTTTTTCTTTGGGGTTTTCTATATGCTTATTTGGTTTCTGAAGGAGGGTTGCGCATTTTTCCATAAGTTTGGATGACTCTGACCCTCTTTGTTTCATTCTGAGGGAGATTTTGGACGACAGATCGGACAGGTTCCCATAAGTTTGGGAGGTCTAGTCTGAAGCCACGCACATGCTAGAATTAGAAGGTAAAACTTGTTTATATTTTATATTATATTACTTATTAACAGACAAGTCAGACATTTTTTCATAAGTTTGGATGATCATTGAGTTTGGGATGGTGAGAGTACTTACCTTTGTGGTTTGGTCTGCATGAGACTGAGTGCGACTACTACTTAGTCTGAGTTTCAGTTTGATAGGTAGTTGCTTTAGTTGCTCGCTACATACTAGAGTCATAGGAGTTCATTTCAATTCCTGCATTTTTTTAGCTAAGTTTATTTTTACTTAGGTCGATTTCTGCATTTTCTGGGATCATCTATTATACTTGGTCTTGTATAAATCTTGGCAAGTCACTTTCTTTACGGGAAGCGCTGCCGAAATTTCTACAAAACCAAGGAGTTAGTTAGATTTTGTCTTTTTCAGGGTCCAACTTTCTGACTTTTTGGCTTAGTAAAAATTTGAAAAACCTCCTTTTCTAAAGGGAGTGCTGCCCAAATTTTTACTAATTCAGGGCGTTGGACAAAATTAGACCTCAAAAATTCAAAAGTCATTTTAGATTCTGGACTTACCTTTGTATAAATCTCTTAATAACACTTTTTCTACGGGAAGCGCTGCCGAAATTTCTACAAAGCTAAGGAGTTAGTTAAAATTTGTCTTAAAGTCAAACTCAAGTTTAGCTTTTGAGTTCCTATCTGACTTAGTATAAATTTGAGAAGTCTACCCTTCTAAAGGAGGTGTCGTCCAAATTTTTATTAATTCAGGGAGTTAGACAAAATTTGACTTTCCAAAATTAGAGATTGTCTTTTGTTTTCATATTTGAGTTGTTATAAATTTTGAGAAGGCAGTTCTCCTACGAGAAGCGCTGCCGAAATTGTCTTAGTTTACAGGAGTTAGATTATATTTTGACAGACGGCAATGCTGACAATCCACTCTGCATAGAGGAGATTCTGCCAAAGATCTACCTTTTCATTAGGCACTGGCTTAGGGTAGACTCAGGATTAGCCAAGCAGAATAATTCTTGATGAAAGCGTGATATGGAGGTTACTCTCGATTTGGACTCATAGATTTAGCTTGGGGATTGACATGTCTTGTGTTACAGGTCCTCTTGATCATTTGGTTCAGGATCTGGAATAGATTCAACTTGATCCTACAAGGATCACCTTCTGTTATCACTGATAACAGGTCGGTTGCCGATTCGTCGGTGTACGACTCAACTCCAATTTATCCTCAATACTCAACCTAAGAGGCTCTAGCCCTGGTGATTTTTGTTGTTTTACTAAGGTTTTCACCCGGACTTTTATTGAATGACCATTTAACGAAGGTACTGAGTATTTAATTATGGTTGGTTGGACAAAGGTTGGGGCTTGCATAGCTAAAGCGAGAGGTATGAGTATAGAGATTGGTTGGCGTTGACCCCGTGTAGTGCGTGGACCTTGTTGACTCTTTGATGTGATTGCAAGTATGTTATGTGGTTCGGATTTTAGATTTGATTGTCTGCGATCACACATATATATATGGTTGTGAGGAGTTTCGTTGTGATTGTGAGAAGTGATCGTCACATACTTATTCCCCTTTACATATGTATGTGTGTACCTATACTGGGTGTTCGCATGGCCTGAGGGGTCTAGGCTTAAGGGGTAAATAGGGGTTGAGATTGAGAAAAGAAAGAAACCCCTGCCTTATTGTTGAATGCTTCTTAAAAGTTTCTTAGTCAGACGTTAGTCCTGGGCCCGGATTCGAGGTCCTTGTCCAGGACATCCCAGACCCTAGACTCTGCATGAAAGGGATTACCCCTCAGGCAGAGTCTATTTGCCTTGCCTACCGGGACACTCAGCCTAAAGACCGGAAGTGTCGCGGAGGCCGCACGACTATTCCTTCGGCCGTGCAATATCGTGGAGGGGTAAACCCTCACGGTACTTCGAGTCTGACACTTGAGTGTCATAAGCGGTACTCGGATCTACGAGGGACCGCTTGATTATGGGCACTACATAGTATGCCATCACTGCGACTACTTGCGTATTCATGCTTTGCTAGTCGATATGACTTAGCCCTGCGTCCGAGCAGTTTTATACTAAGTCTCGCGCGCGACGTCTATCTGATTACCGCATCGGGGAGTTATGGAATGACTACTAAGGGACTAGGAGTGTTGTCACGTTGTTTGTTCTGTGTTGTTTCGTGTATATGTGTATGTGCATGTTTTTATTGTTATGTTCTTTCAAATGGTGTGCGCGTGGAATGTGGGATGCGTCCTAGTCGACCGACGACGAGTCGCACTTGGGACCTCAGCCCCCCAAGATGTTTGTTCACGTGCAGGTCCGATAGAGGTACCCCCTATGTTACAACGAACGAGAAACACCCTCGGCTGGTCCATCTCTGCGATTGCACCTGATTAGCTTTCGTATTGTGGACTGGTAGCTCGGTGGGGATACGCCCACCAAAGGGAGGTGACAACTCCCGTAAGGTGGAGGTAAGTCGTGCCTTGCGTAGGCCCTATCCTGTTGTAGGGGCTCGTGAGAGGTATGGCTGGTGCACTCGGCCGGAGCGGCTTGCGGAAGCTCCATGTATATTTGCGACGAGGATTAAGACCAACTCCTGCGTGACGTGGCCGGGAGGGTCCCGCGCTGCCTCATGCGATGCCAGACCGATGCGCTCGACAACGCTTGGAGGGGAGGAAGGTCTTGGGAAGCGGCCTGACGTGGTGGGAACTCCTCGCTATGACACATATAGGAGTTGGGAGGTAGTAGTGGTAAGGAAGCTACACAGAAGGTTGCGATGGTGGGTTTAACCGGTAGAGAGAACGCCACGGCTTTTTGTTGAAACGCGAAATATTCATGGAGCAGTGACCATCATATTTTTCTTCAGGGGTCTTCCTCTTCAGGGTGTGACTGGTCTTCTTGATCTATTAGGCTTTGTTTCGACAGTTTGAGCATGTCACGCGAAACGGAGGTGAAACACATTGAGTGGGGAACACGAAGATAAGGAAGCGTTTTTTGATTGGCATGAAATAGTTGATCTCGTGTGCAAATGGGGGCAGGTGGGGCTGTGAATTAGGGCATGGGCTGATCACAGCCTTTGGGGAGGAAGTGACATGGCTTAGGGTGTAATCTTTTGTATGTTTTTCCCCTCACCTTCCCTTATTCCCTCCTCTCTCGATTTGTGTCTTTTCCTCCGTCTCTGTTGTTTTTTCTGCTTCTGCCCGCCTCTTGTCCTTTTGTCTTACTAGATCGGAACTCCTGCGAGGTGTCGTTGGCAGGTTCAACGAGGACTATCGTGACGAGCTCTGAGAGGGGCTTGGCTTGTTGGCCTTCTGCTTCCGATGGGAGGAGGTTGGTCTCTCCCTTAAAGAAGGCATAGGGGGTAAGTTTTGTGGTGAGATTGAAGGAGGAATTGAGATTGGTGGATAGCAGGTTATAATAACAGAAAAATTGTAGGGTGGTACGATATATATAATTTTTGTTGTGAATCTTCGAGTGGTAGTTTTTTCCTGATTAGTTTCTCATTTGTTTTTTTAGTTTTCTAAGCGTTTATAGCGATTAGATTTCCGAAGTTAATTGTGGTGACTAATATTATGTTGGATATTCACATACATAATTCTAACCCTATATTTCAATAAACAGTAAATTCATAATTTCTAAAATCTGAAAGTTAAATTCTTATAGATTTTCCAACTTTATCCTTAAAATCATTGCCGTATAAGTTTACTCCTAAATCTTTTACGCTCTTGAGTGATTTTCCTGAGGCTGATATACGCAAATCAGAGTTTAAACTTTGATATAAAAAAGGTAATCCTCAAATAGTTTCATCATAGTTGGTCTTCAAAATTCGAGTTCCTATTGAGTTCCATAAAAATAGTTTTACGTTCGGATAGCTCACATCAGAAACCTATATTTGTGCTTCTTACTTCAAACCATGTTATTTGGAATAATTCTTCAAAATCCAACACGGGAGGCAGGGGCTTGTGGTGGCGACGAGGGGGGGAGATAACGCGCTATGCCGTGAAGGGGCTAGCCTGCAGGGTGGAAATAGGGCATAGCAGCGGTAAAGATGGGAGCTTCATTGTGGTAAGACTTGCCAGAGCAGGGTTGAGAGAAATTTTGTGTGGGATGCCTGCAACCGGTGCCGGAATTACGCAGGTGTGCTAATTGATTGATTGTTTTCGTTAAAAAAGGGGGGGCATGCAGGAGCTGGATGATCCGAACTACAACTATGGTGGTGAGGGGGCTTGGCTGCTATCTGCTGATGTCCTTGGTCCCGGTGGTTGCGAATGGACGAGGCCAGAACGACGCTGGTCGGTGCTAGGGCTTGGTCGCACTGCCCTGTAACTCGAGTTGTACGGGGGTATGAGACCTGGTAGAGAGATCTGGAGAGTCGTTGAGGGTGGAAGGCATTCTAGTGTCCATTGGTGAGTTGGTTTTCAGTCGACGCTGGCCGGAGCCGCGGCGGGTCGCTTCGCCCTGTAGCCTAGCAGGTGGGGGTTTTCTGGGGTGGGTCGTGCCACTCTGTAACCTAGCAGTTGGGGGTGTGAGGCCTAGTAAAGATTGAGTATCGGGACGTAGGGGGGAGGCAGATAGGGTTGGGCCGCTGAAAACACTAATGCATGTGTTTTTTTTTTCAGTCTGAATGTGCTGCTTATGGTTGCCAATGGTGTCTAACGAATGATTTAGGACTCAGGGGATTCCTAGCAACTCATCTTAGGAGGCTCCATTGCTGTTAGACTCAGTGATCTGCGGATGTCTGAAGCCAGAACGACGCTGGCCGATGCTGGGGTGTTGCCCTGTAACCTGCTGATGCAGGAGTGTGGGGCCTGGTAGAGAGATCTGGGAATGCTTTGGGGTAGGCATTCCAAGGGACAACCAAGGGTTGTTGCTGGGGCGACGCTGGTCGGAGGAGCTGGGGTGAGTCGTGTTGCCCTGTAACCCAACAAGGTGGGGGTGTGAGGCCTGGAAGAGCTCGGCAAGGAGTAAGACAGTGCTGAAGAGTTTTATAAGGGTTTGCCAGGGATTTCGAGGTTTTCGAGCACTTGTAGGACTCTTGTTCGGCGATTGTTGCTGTGGGTAGCCCCCTTTTATCTGATGATTGCTGTGGAAATTTTCTAAACAGCTTAGAATCTCCAAAAGGTTACTAGTGTACTTGCAGCACCTTGTGTAGATTGCACAGTTGTCTTTCTTAGCCGCAGCCGAGTAATGGCCCCGGGATCTCAAGGATTTTCCATAAACTCCTCAATTTCTCAATATGATTTTGAAAGGGACGCTGGGCCCGGTTCCCAGCACGTGCTGCTCCCCACGAATAGATTGGAGCAAGTCTCCTGTAAAAAAAAAAAAAAAGAAGAGGTCCTATGTTTGTGCTTGAAAAGCATGAATGTGGTCATAAACCGCCTGCGGTGCATTTAGTGCCAACCGACTGTGATAGTCCTCTGGATACCCCTGATCGGTATTAGCCTCTGATGGGGCGGGGTCTATGACCAACACGGGTGTGAGTGGGAGAGCCAGTGTGGTGTGTGGGAGAGTGTTGGCCATAGCCTCTGCTGCTACTGGGCTCTATGAGAGGGGTGGGGACGATGAGAAAGGGAGGCGCAGCTACTGGCAAAATGCTCGGTCTTTACGTTAGCCGGACCCCCACGGCGGCCCCACCCCATCTCTGACCACGGCTGTTGGGGTGGGGGGCAACATGAATTACCTCGTTTGCGAGGCCCTATGCTTGGGAGAAGAACATTGTGCTTTGTTAGCATGGCCATAGCACCAGAGGGCGCCGTATCCTCGCACGAGAGCTACCATAGCGTGGGAGGGAGGGATTCCCCGCCGACTCTGAATATTATCCATAATCACTTTGTTAGCAATGATTTTTTTTCAGCGCGGTGTGGGACTGATCTTCGCTCACCTGCGGGGATGTCCCACTTGTCCTGATTTCTTTGTTTTTGGCCGTTGATCTTTATAATCGACGGCAAGAGATGGAGAGTCCGGGTTAGCGGGTGCGCTCCCCGTTTGTCGTACGTGGATCTACTCGTGCCATAAAAGCCTTTTGATTGACACAAGTCATCTTGACAATTCCGCAACGGTTGGTCTGGCGCCAACCTCTAGCGCGCTAAGCGAAAGCGCCTCGGTGACTTGGAGCGACGCATTGGCGGGAAAAAGCGGAGGCGATTTTACACCGAGGTGTGTTACCATCGGAGTTTTTTTTTTTTTTTTTTTTTTTTTTTCTGTGAGTTTGCAACTCGCTGTCCATGGATGTGTTTTTTTGTTTTGTTTTTGTTCCCCCCCCAAAAAAAGAAGATTTTTTTTTTTTTGCGTTCTTCTTCTGCCCTCTTTGGTTATTGCCTTGGTTTTTACCAACTGGCCTAGCTCAGTTGATACACGCACACCAAAACCTGTTTTCTGATTTTTAGACGTAACTGCGGCCAGATACATTCACGTCTGGCTGTAAATGCGGTCAGATACATTTACGATGGTGCTAGTGTGAGTACGGCCTCCGTTGGTACACTCATGAACTGTTGTAAAAGAGTTGGAAAAGAAAAGTACAATAGGAAAAAAAAAAAAAAAAACCGGATTAGAAGTGTTTGTGAATAGACAAGTATTTGACAAGGGCTTAAAGAATTAGCCTACTATATATGGCAGTTCTGTTTGTGACGATATATATATATATATATATATTGTGACGATATATATACACGGGGGTGGAGGCAGCCGCCGCTCAACCTACATCCACGTGGGCGGCCTTGTACGCAAGAGGTTCTGAACAGGGGGAGTTATAAGGAAGAAGATAAAAAATTGAACTCAATTTTCCTTGGTTTTCTTTTCTCCTTTTTTCTTTTTTTCGCATTTGCGCTCTGATATTCTTGTGACAATATATATTTATGAATGCAGCTCAAATGCCGCTAGCCGGCGCCTGCTTCTTTCTGTCAATCATCGGTGACGTCAGCCTCTAATTCTACCTCAAAAAAAAAAAAAAAAAAAAAAAAAAAAAACTCCGTCTTGATGAGTACTCTCCCTTCTCAGATTCTTCTTGTCGTTCTGTCTGGTCTCCCTCTTCCTCGTTTTTCCTCCATGCCGCCTCGCGTTGCCTCGTCGGTTCTCAGCAAAACAACGGCTGTATGTACATTGTACACTCTTTCTCCTGAGCATCCTGTATGCCATCGCCAGCCTGCACATAGCGTTATTTAGGCCATCGTCTTTCTTCTTGTGGCATGAGTTCCACCATCGCTACCCCTTCCCACAGCGTTAGTCTGGCCTTCGTCTGTCTTCTACTTTTTTTTTTTTTTTTTTTTTCCCCAGATGTTACAATTTGCAATTAATTCTGTTGATTTTTCCTGTGTCTTTTTTTGCCCGCCACCCCCCCTCGTTGCCCTTCCCCCCTGTCGGATTCTTTTTTTTTTTTTTTCCTTCCTTCCAAACATAACAAAATCGTTCCTTTTCTTTTCTTCGTCTTTTCTTTCTCTACGTCATCATTTCCACCACCATTTCGTGCATCCCGAGATTAAAAAAAAAGAAAAAAGAAAAAAAAAGAAAAAAGAAAAGAAAAAAAGAAAAAAAGAAAAAAAGAAAAAAAAAAAGAAAAAAAGAAAAAAAAAGGAAGAAAAAAGAAAAGGAACGATTTTGTTATCACTGGGAACGATCCAGTGCTATTCAGAAAATAAGGCGCCATCTCGGTAGGTCTTCTTCCCGCTCTACCGTCCCTCCATCTCTCCTTACTGCATCGAAAACGGTGATGGCACCTGGTGGCACCGTTTCTCTCTCTCTATCTCTCTATCCCTCTTTCTCTCTCTTTCTCTCTCTCTCTCTCTCTCTCTGTGTCTCTGGGCCTCGCTCCGCTACCCAATACATGCACAAAAGACAAAAAATATGGTGGTGTATCTTTCCATGTTCTAGCCGAAGATTCATTCTCATTTTGCACATTTGGTGAGCAAATGCGCGAGGCTCTCTCTGCCTTTCTCCTTTGAATAAATGATAAAACCAACGGCTGCCGCTTCGTAGGGCATACTCATACCAGGACTCTTTGTTCTAAGCTCTGGACGTGATTGCGGATTCATCCGCATATGGCCGTAATCTCGGTGAGATTCATCGACGTATTTGCCGCAATTACGGTCAGATACACTTAGGAAGGTCCTAGTGTGAGCAATGCGCTTAGGGTATGTACATGGCAGCGGAATTGGAGGCAGAGCATGCGCTCATAGGTGTGCGCGCACGTGGCCATGGTTGTGAACGTTATTAAAAATAAAATCCCTTTTTTAATTGCTCATCATTTTTTTCAGAAGCGGTTGTTTACTCATTGATCGATGATCGATGGCCGTAGATAGATCGTATGTCCGCAGACCAATGGCTGCAGACCGATTCATTAAATAGTTTTTTTTTTTTTAATTTAATTTTAAGAAAAACATTATTTCATTAACATCATTGAAAAATTTAGGTGATTTGTGACATGATAGATACAGATAGTAGATGTTGCTCCTTAGTTTCCTAAGATAGTCGACGATCATCATCGTTAAGAAAACAAGGAAAGGATAATCATCCTGTTTGTCCATCATCGCGGGGACGTGGTCCCCCACCCAGAACAAAAACTGACTGATTTTTTTGATTTTTAATTTTAATTTTAATTTTAATTTATTTATTAAGTGACTTATTTCAGAGTGTCGATCTCTTTTTTTTTCCATATATACATATATATATTTGTAAGTGCGGAGTCTCTCATCCGCTAATTATAATTTTTTAGACATCTCTCTCTCTCGGAGGATTGATTAACTTTGTAGAATTGAGATGAACCATTCCCCTCTTTGGCAGGGGCCATGCTAATCTTCTCTCGATCAATGTATGTAATCCTTGGAATTCAGATGAACCATGACCCTCTTGGGCAGGGGCCCTGCAAGCCTTCTGTGTATCGTTCCAGTTCTGGACGGATGTTCTGAATGACTGGTGAACTGACAGATTGCGGAAGGTACACAAGCAAAGAGGGAAAAACCTTTTTTTTTTTTTTTTTTTTTTTTTGAAGAATCCCGCGCGGGTGATAGTGATGCTGGTAAGAGCAGACACCACCACTATCACCCCAGGGGGGGGGCTCCAAAAGCTCATGTACATTCAGGAACAAGGGACGACTTTGGTTGACAGCGCAGGTGTGGTTATGTGTTCATCGCGCTTGAGTCACACTTTGTTTGACTTGCTCTTCTTCTTCTTCTTCTTCTTCAAGGGACGAAAATACAAAAGCACGCAATATATTATTTTGTTATGCAATATTTTTTCTATGCAAAAAATCGATTGAAATGTGATCCGGCGTCAGCTTTAATAGGCTTTGTTTGTTTGTCAAAAAGAGAGTTATGTTCGCTTCAAGAACAGAGATGATTGCATGCCGGTTGGGATATGGCTCCCCGACCGGTTTCGACCGCAGCCACGTGGTCATCCTCAGGGGGTTCCACCGTACGCCTCCCCTCGGCGGAAGCGCCCATCATTCCGCCTAACCCACCTCCGCCGTCGAAAGCCCATCGTTCCGACAAACCTACCTCCGTCTGTAGAGTTTGGCATCTGGTGTGGGGGTGAGTGATAGTCTGCTTTGATTTTAGTCACAGGTACCTTGAGGGCAGTGGTTGGTGGTCCCCACCACCTCAGAGGGGTATCAGTTGTCGGGCAGTCGTTGATGCTTAACCACGGCCGGGGTTAAGGTGGATTATCGCTCACAGTGTAATCGGTGAGGCGATGCTGCAGACTGTTGTTGAGCGTTCAGCCCCTGATGAGTAGGTAGGTGAAACTCCGACGAAACAGTTTGTCACAGCCCCTCGTTTCTTGTCGTCTTCTCCCTTTTGTCCCTCCCTCTCTGCCCAAGGCTTACCGCAGGCAGCTCTGTGTAGCAAAGAATCTCGATCCGACCTTGAGGCAAAACGTTTTTCAAGTTTTTTTTTTTTTTTTTTTTTTAATAAATAGCTACATTGTTCTCTCTCAATTTCACCTCACACTACCTACCTACCACTAAAACTAATTATAGTCGTGCGGGGGACCCCGTAGCAGCCACAACCTTGTCCACACGGTTGTTCAGTGTTTTTTTTTTTTTTTTTTTTTTTTTTTTTTTTTTTTTTTTTCACGGTTGTTCAGTTTATTGTTCTGATGAACGTAGTTTTTTTGTTTTTATTTTTATTTTTACAGGAACCTTCCCTCGCCCTTGTCCGGCAGGACGACCCGGGCAACCAAGGTGACCCGGGCGGCCCGTTTGGTATTATGAGATCAGTCAGTTAGGGCCGCTGTCAGACTTCCCATCCCGAAGTGCCTAGCCATACGGCACACTGAACGGAAAAAAAGGAGTGCATCTCCCCGCAGAAGATGGCGAGATACACTTGTTTCGATTCATAGTAACGGATGAATCTTTCCTGTTTCTGTGAGAAGATGCAATCGCTTCTTTTTCGTTTCGTGCGCCGTGTGGCGACGGCCTGAGAGACTGTTGTAAGTGGGTGCCGTCTACTCTCAGGGCATACTCCCACTAGGACTTTCTCCACTTGCTCTGGACATGATTACGGTGAGATGCATTCAGCTCTGGCTGTGATTGCTGTCAGATACATTCAGGAAAGTGCTAGTGTGAGTATGCCCTGAAGTAATCAAGACAGTTGAGCTGGAGTGTGAGAAACGGTGTGTCCTCACTGCAAATGCTGGAAGGATGTGGCTACGTAGTACAGGCCTGTAGGGCGATCGTGTGCTCCACAATCTGGGACGTGAGGAACAAGGCAGTTTTTCAGGGAAAAGGAACATCCGACATCGACATCAAGTCATCCACCTGTCACAAATTAAGGCATTACATAAAGGCAGATTGGGACAGACGGACTGGTGGATTGCATACCAGGGGGAAGACTTTGAGATGGTTCCTCAGGACATGGGGGAGCTGCAGAGGAGCCAAGTGGCTGGTAACAGTAGGTTCAGATGGCAAGTTGGTTTTCTGTAACTGGTTAAAAAAATGATAAGATAGTTATAAGGAATAGGGTTCCCTGTAGGGTTTAATAGACATGGCTCATGAGTAGTTAATTACCGTGTGGTTTGTAAGTGGTAAATGGTTTCCTTTATTGGATATGTTTATAACTTTTGTTGTTGGGTCTAATAATTCTGTTTGTCTGTTATGGTTGTTAAATTTCTGATGAAGCCTTTGTTGTAGAGCTTGGAAGTAGAAGGCAATACCAGGACACTCGGTT